CTTCGTTTTCAACGCGACTTTGGACTTAGCTGTTAACAAATAAACAGCTACGTTCTGCTTCTGTTCTACTCGAACGTAGAGACAGCACCCATACGCTATCGTAGAGGCGTCAGCAAAGCCATGTATTTGTCATTTTTTATTTTTGGATACGCCGACGTATCGGGGTAGGCGAATCGACTCCAGTGCATCAAAAGAGCTAGTAATATAATTCAAGTCTTTTAATAGATGACTGGGAATTTGGTCGTCCCAAGAAAATTTTTGAAGCCAAAGCTCCTGCCTTAAAATTTTTGCTCGCGTAATTATTGGGCACAGCAGACCAAGTGGGTCGTATAGTTTCGAAATAAACGACAGTATCGCACGTTTAGTAGGCAATATCTGAACAGAAAGGTTTTCGACACAGTACCTAAACGCATCATCACGAGGACTCCAAACTAGTCCTATCGTTTTGGTATCCTCCTGATGGCCTATAAGAAGGCTGAATTTGACACTGTTCGTAATTTGATGACCAACCGAAATGGCTTTAAAACTGAGTTTAGTTAAATATATAGCAACTGCAACTCCTCCACAGTTTCTGCACCAGATAGCAGGTCATCCACATCAAAATCGTTGGCCAGAGATTTAGACGCCAATGGATGTGAATCTGCGTGCAGGTCACTTAAGTATTTAAGGCATCGAATATCCAAAAACGGTGCGGAAGCGGTACCATATGTTACCGTGTTCAAACGGTATTTTAAGTGGTTCTGTGGTATCTTTTCTCCAAATAATCAATTGGAAGTTGCGTTGTGATTCCATGACTTCGACTTGCCGAAACATTTGGCAATGTCAGCGGACAAAGCTAACGGTCGAAGTCGGAACCGCAACAAAGTTGAATATAAGCATGGCTGGATAGTCGGTCCAACCATGAGTATGTCATTTAACGACACTTGGGACGACGTCTTGCTCGACGCGTCGAATACACCTCGCAACTTTATTGAGATGATGGACCGTGTTGTCGATTCCGTTCATATGTCCCAAAGATATGTAATCAGTCATGAAACTTATGTACATGACATGTACGTCTGGCTGCTTGGACAATCTCCTTTCTAAGGCTAGAAAGTGCCTTTTAGCTGTTTCATAGGAGCTGCCAAGTGACTGCGGAATGGACTTAAACGGCAACGATACACTAAGACGGCAAGCGAGTGATCGAGTTCATAAATGACTTCTCGCAAAGCATTTGTTCTGGAGTATATAAATGTGAGTCAGTCAAATTTGGAACTTCTTCCAATTCCCAGAACTTGGAACTTTGTTCATTATCAAGCGGAAAACTCTGATTAAAACTAATGAGTAAAGCAGAACAAAATGCAGATGAGTCAGCAGATTGACAACGCCCAGCTACAATCCACCCGAGTGCTGTAGCTTGCAAAGTCGGCGACTCACTGGTTCCTTTAATTTGGCCTTATCTTAATAGGTCAAAGAATACATCTGCGCCAAGAAGCAGATCAATGCGTTGCGGGCTATGAAACTGACGATCTGCTAGTTCCAGATCTTTTGAACAACGTTGACAATTATCTTTTCAGGCTGGTATGAAGAAATAGTGCTCAGTACACCAAATTCTGTCATCAAATCAAAATTGCTACTACGAGACGCAATTGACAATTGAATTGGCACATTTTCACGAACTTAAATCGTTCAATCGCTTGGTAGAACAAACACTTCGGACTCGGTGGCGGACTGGCTTGTGCAACTGCCAGTACCAGAAGATGATTCCTCAGCAGATAAGTGCTGGTAGCGTCTGTTGAGAGATGCCTCGCAGTCTTCCTAAGACGGAAGTTTGCTATAGTCGAGGCTCCCTTCCCACTTTGAACGAGTACTGGGATCAACTTTAATTATGACCAAGTGTATGAGCATGATGTTAGAAATTTGTTTGTCATTGCCTAAGGATAGCAGTGATTCGTAGCTAGCGCGAACGTTATCAATCAACGAACGCAAAGAACTAGCACACGAGCTTTGTATTTTCGGAAGGTCAAATAGTTTGGCAATTCTATCAAATACGATAAGACAGCTGTTTTCGTAAACGCGCTTCAAAGCTGCCAGTGCCTTTGGATAATTTTCGTCGGTAGCCTTGACCGTTCCTAGTGCTTCTTTCTCTAAGCATGACAGCAAATGATTGAACATGTCAATATTTGAAAGTGATGCGTCATTGTCCACTAGATGTTCAAACAGCCCAATGAATAGCTACGACCAAACCGTGGCAACTTCATTGAGGGCAACTGTTTGCTATGCGAGGATGCAAATATTGCGGAATTCACTCCGCTGTCCCTATGAGGCTTTGGCCGTCCGCCTTTGCTCATCAAAAGCGCTTTGGTTGAGACGCAGAGAATCTCCAAGTCTGCCCTTGACACTAAGGCCGGATCAATTCTGTCTAATTCTTCCTGCAGGTCAAAGGCTTTATCAATGTACCGAGACAAAATTTCCAATCGGCACTCAACTTAAAAAGGCTCGATGCTGCCAGAAGTTGTCTGGATAGAACTTTTTATTCGTTCGATATCGCGAACGACATTGGTATGTGACTGAAGCAAGCAGTCAAATTTATTTGAGACAGAGTCGTCTAATGCCCTGCTTCGGTTTTGCTTGCTTCTTTTGCCAGGTATATTTACAAATAAAAGCTATACAAAAGGTTGTAATAAATTATTTCAATTGTAGTACAGTGGTACTCCATTGCTAGCCTTTATTGTTCTGCTAAACGAAAGTGTGTTTATATGTGTACATATATTTATTCACTTGTATGTATGTACATACAGGGTGTGCCATCTTTTATGTCGGTATGTAAATATTGAATAACTTTGTCATTAGTGAACCGATTGACTTGAGTAGACCAGTGTTGAAAACCTCAGTTCAGCACAATTTTAATCATGAATCGCTTCACTCCGAAAGAACGCTCTGAAATAGTGACGCTTTACATTGAAAATAGTCGTTCAGTTGTGTTAACTCAACGTGCAAATCGTCGAAAATATCGCGACAAACAGGCACCATCTGACAACGCTATTCGTCGTTTGTTTTCAAATTTTGTTGAGCACGTTGTTCATCAACGACCAAGACGTTCCAATGAACTGATTGAAATGGTAAGAGAGAGTGTTGCCCAGGACCCAAATGTGTCGTATCGCCACCGTGCTCAGCATTTTAACGTCAGTGGAACCACTTTGCGGCGCATTTTAAAGGACGATTTGCATTTGTTTCCGTATGAACTGCAATTAACTCAAAGAATTTTGCCGACAGACTGTCCACGACGCTTGGAATACGGCCAAACAGTTGCTCGAATGGTTTACACTGAACATGATTTTTGGAAGCAAATTTTGATTACTGACGAGGCCCATTTCACACTGTCTGGCAAAAACAAGCAAAACGTAAAATCAACACGAGATTCATGAAACACCATTGCATGATCAAAAAGTGACTGTTTGGGTCGGGGTCTGCGCCAAAACCATCATTGGGCCATTTTTCTTCAAAGAAGGCGAAACAGTTGATGTGAATCGATATCGGTGGATGTTGGCTCATTATGTCTGCCCGCAAATGCGTGAAAAAGGTCTGAACGGTTACTGGTTTCAACAAGAGGGTGCGCCATGCCATACTGCAAATAAAACAATTCAGTTTTTACAACGAAAATTCCCTGGACGTCTGGTATCAAAAAAAGGCGATACTGATTGGCCACCCAGATCTCCAGATTTGACGCCTCCGCTGTGTCCAATAAAGGCGGCCACTTGATTGATGTTGTTTTCAAAAATTAGTCTGAAGGAATTGTACAGAACCAAATTAAATAAAAATATCTCATACTTGAAAATTGGTTGTTTATTTTCAAAGATATTCAATGTTTACATACCGACATAAAAGATGGCGTGTATGTGTCGCAACATGGCGTTTATACACACATAAGTCGACAAATGTGTCCGCAATTTATTTTTCGCACTCGTTATCTGATGTAAACTTCCCTGAAAATTGTGGCAATTCATCGGTTGGGAGTGTAAGCCAAACGTCCAATTGTCCAGGAGAACATCGCCAATAATCTCTAGTCCACCCGGGGGCGCCAAAATGTACGGCTTTAAGCCGGTAACTTGCCGGTATGGCCAAAGCGAAAGGTTCACGAAGTTTATATAAAAAGAAAGGTGGTGCCTTTCTATGCACGATTTATTGGTTTAAAAAAAAATGATCGCACGTTCGCACAGCTAGACTTCAATATAACAAGTGTTTCTTTAATTGTAGCGAAGCTACATACAATACAAAGGCCGCCGCCGTAAGCACAACATAAGAGCGGCAATTGCAATTATGCTGCTCGCAGGCACCTGCAGTGTACGACAATTTTCTCTTAACTAATGCGTTGCTTTCAATTATAATTCTCTTAAATAATCTTACACACATGTTATTTGTTAATGTTTCTGAATACCGTACTAAGAAATCATTGGTTTTGTTTATTTTGTCTACCTCACTCTTATAGGATTCTATGACAGATTCTAATTCCAACCAAGTTGCCATTTCAAACTTTGGTTATCGTGGAATATTTTCTTTTCATATGCTTTGTGTGAGCGTTATATAATCGCCACAGCAAATTAACGACTGAAACTAATAAAAGACAGTACAAAATGTTGTAGACATTTTCTATTGAATCTATATGATCTACTACTTCTACTGTGTTTATGACGTTAGCTGGATTCTTTCGACCCCATCTTAAGAGAAAAGTATTGATGACAGGAATATTATATTTAAACATGAGAGAGGGCTACAGTCGAGCGAACCCGACAGTATACCCTGTACCCAGTTGAATTTCCGGCACTAAGTTATATGCGCCTATAACAGGAGCAAAAAGAAGAAGAAGAGTGAACTTGATGCTGCAGTTTCTCGGCGTAGTACTGGAGTGAAATTGTTTCGCTAATAACTTTTCTTAGAATTGACCGATTATAATGAAATTGAATAAGCTAAAGAGAAGTATTACTTTTTAACACATCTTCAACATTATTACTAATTTGTAGATTAAATAATATACAAAAGTCAGAACAGGACACTCGTGACTATCGGGGCCTTCAATTAAAAAACGGACTGAAAGCATTACTTATTAGCGACCCAGATACAGATGTGTCTGCAGCTGCGCTTTCTGTGCAAGTAGGGTAAGTGGCAACAGATTTCATAAACGCCAGAATATTAAAAAATATCGAATTTAATTTTAAGGCACATGTCGGACCCAGAGGACTTGAATGGCTTGGCACACTTTTGCGAGCATATGCTCTTCTTGGGAACTCAAAAATATCCAAGTGAAAATGGATATACCACCTACCTCTCCCAGAATGGAGGAAGTAGCAATGCTGCTACGTACCCTTTAAGTACGAAATATCATTTTCACATTGCACCCGAGGCACTAGAAGGGGCTTTGGATCGGTTTGCAAGTTTTTTTATTGCGCCATTATTTACATCTAGCGCCACAGAGCGAGAAATTAATGCGGTATTTCATAAATATAATTCCACTGGCTGTACGTTTATTTATAAAACTGTTGCAGGTGAACTCGGAGCATGAAAAGAATTTGTCCAGCGACTTATGGCGCATTAAACAAGTACACAGACACTTGGCAAAGCCTGATCATGCGTATAGCAAGTTTGGAAGTGGAAATAAATCAACACTTTACGAAATACCAAAATCAAAAAACATCGATTTGCGCGAGGAGCTACTTAAGTTTCATAAGAATTGGTATTCGGCTAACATTATGTGTCTAGCTGTAATTGGAAAAGGTTTCGTATTTCATAACCTATAAGCATCGTCTAAATTTAACCTATTATTTTTTCACATAGAATCCCTAAATAAACTTGAGGAAATAGTTGTTGATAAGTTCTCTGAAATTGAAAATAAGAATGTGCAAGTGCCCAATTGGCCTCGACATCCCTTTGCTGATAATCAGTATGGCCAAAAAGTGATGATAGTGCCTATTAAAGATATACGCTCTTTAACAATCAGCTTTACAACAGATGATCTAACAAAGCTCTACAAATCTGGCGTAAGTCTTCTTTATGGTAACATAATATTGTCGTTTTAAATTTGTAGTTATATATTTAGCCCGACAACTATGTGACTCACCTTATCGGACACGAAGGTAAAGGCAGCATTTTATCAGAGCTTCGAAGACTGGGCTGGTGCAATGAGTAAGCAATATAGTGCAAAAATGGCATAGATACTAACTTGTAATTTATAGTCTCATGGCTGGACATCAGAATACTCAAAACGGGTTTGGCTTCTTTGAGATTGTTGTAGATTTGACTCAAGAAGGTTTAGAACACGTAGACGACGTAGTGAACATTATTTTTCAGTACCTTAATATGCTGCGTGAAGATAGTCCAAAAAAATGGATATTTGATGAATGCGTAAGCCTGAATGAAATGCGTTTTCGCTTTAAAGAAAAGGAACAACCGGAAAATTTGGTTATTCATGCGGCTACTTCTATGCAGGCAAGTACAAAACCTTGAACGAGTATAATTTTCTCCACTTTATACGTCTTTCTTGTAGATATTCCCTCTAGGTGAAGTGCTTATCGCACCATACCTAAGTAATGAATGGCGGCCTGATTTAATACGCAGTCTTTTGGATGAACTAATTCCTTCTAAATGCCGCATATCAATAGTTAGCCAAAGGTTTGAAAAATTAGCTGACCTTGTTGAACCATATTACAAAACAAGATATTATTTGGAGGGTATACCCCTAGAGATATTACATGTATGTTTAAATAATGCTCTATATTGTAATGGATTTCTAGTTTAAATTTTGCAGAACTGGGAAAATTGTAAAACGAATGCGAATCTGGATCTCCCATTACCGAATAACTTTATTCCGACAAATTTTGATATTGCTGATGTGTCAGCGGAAGCACCTAAACACCCTATGATTATAGTAGATACGCCAATTTTACGAGTATGGCACAAACAAGATAATCAATTCAAAAAGCCTAAGGCCTGCATGACTTTTGACATGTCTAATCCAATATCGAATTTAGATCCCTTGAATTGCAATTTAAATCACATGATAGTTATGTTATTGAAAGATCAGCTCAATGAGTACTTATATGACGCCGAACTGGCAAGCCTTATACTTAGTGTTATAACCAAACCATGTGGCATCGATGTGAGTTTAAAATCATAAAAAAAAAAGAAATTGAAGCAGTAGTATATATTTTTTATTTTTACAGTTTACTATACGCGGATTTAATGATAAACAAGTGGTACTTCTGGAAAAGTTACTAGATCATTTATTTGATTTTCGTATAAGCGAAAAGCGTTTCGACATATTGAAGGAAGAGTACACACGATCACTAAAGAACTTTAAAGCAGAACAACCATATCAGCATTCCATATATTATTTGGCTTTATTACTTACTGAAAATGCTTGGGCCAATGTTGAACTATTAGATGCAATGGAACGTAAATAGACACAATTTAAGATTATTATATACATTTATCACGTTTTGTTAATTTTAGTGGTTTCTTATGAGAGCATTGTAAACTTCGCAAAGGATTTTTTTCAGCGTCTGCACACAGAATGTTTTATTTTCGGAAATGTAACTAAACAGCAAGCATTGGCTATAGCAGAACGGGTTAATAAACGTATGGAGTCTACGAACGCATGTAAATTGCCTATACTTGCACGTCAAATGCTTAAGAAGCGAGAGTACAAACTTCTGCCTGGTATTTAATCATAAAATGCTTTTTTGACCTTTAACACTGTAACTTGGAGCTTTCTTTTTGAACAGGCGACTGTTATTTATTTCAAAAAGAGAACGAATACCATAAGAGCTCCTGTACGCAGCTTTATCTGCAATGCGGCGCCCAAACCGATCACACCAATATTATGGTAAATTTGGTATCACAAGTACTATCTGAACCATGCTATGACTGTCTGCGAACTAAGGTAAATACATTTTAGAATACATATATATTGATGTCTGTATATGCTTTTGTACTAATTCATATTAACCCGGACCAGGAGCAACTTGGATACATAGTGTTTAGTGGAGTGAGGAAAGTGAATGGTGCCAATGGCATACGCATCATAGTGCAATCGACTAAACATCCTTCATTTGTTGAAAACCGCATTGAACATTTTTTGCAATCATATTTGGTAAGCGGAAAACAAACATTAAAATAATTTAGTTATTTAACTAAATAAGCTTCAACTGTTTAAACTTTATTCGTAATTATTAGACCCAGTGCCATAATTATACTTGAACACAGCAAAACAAAATCGGTTGAGCTAAAATTCATTTCGCCGAAAGCAATTTACGAAATTGCTTAAATCAATATTATATCGAAGGAAAGTTAATTGAGCATCAGTAGTGAAAACAAGAAACCGTCTTCTTCAAATTCATTCAAAAATTGACTCTTACGCTGTAAATTAGCGTTAAGTGTGATCTTTTTCTGAACTTTGTCGATTTCGTCATTGAACCCATTGTCCTGGATGACTCAAAAAATTGCGTTGAATACAAAATTAAAATCGCCCGACTTGGATATCTAATCAAAGGGCTTCGAGACTTTTCTGCACCTTTGAATCGAGAAACCAAAAGGAATACCCTCAGCAATTTTAAATGTGACGAGTAGCTTTACATAACTTCGAAAACATAACTGGCTTGCCAATATGCGAGTAAAACTACAGCAGACTTACGAGCTTCTAGGGCAGTTGAATTATTAGGCGGCTGGAAGTGATCATTTACCGTCTTTTCTTCTGGTTCCATGAGAAAGGCTGGCACTGCAAACCATCCTCTGGGCACGATGTCTGCTGCGACTCGATCCAGTGGAGCGTTTTTTCCGAGTCAGCCCACTATCTATCTTGTCGATTTAAAAATTAGGAAACAAAAGGCAAAGTTTTCGTCTTGAGGGGAGTTCCTTTGTCAAAAGTGACACTTTCCAACCATCCACATTTGCAACTCGAACATAAATACAGACGCCATAAGCTCGCATTGAGGCAGCGACGAATGCATTTATTTGAATGGGTGACTGCGTATCTGTATGGACGAATCTAGGGACTTGAATACCGCTGAGGTTCAACAAATTCTGCTTAAATTAGTCCCAAACTGTATGAAGATGCTCAGGGATGGATTCGTCCCAATCTAGTTTCTGTAGCCACAGATCTTGCAGCAACATTTTAGCCTCTGTGATCAGCGCGCAAGGAAGGCCCAGGTTCGAGGTTTGAAAAGCCTGTCAGTCATCGAAAATATGTTTCTTTTTGTCAAGCGGAGATCTAGGAAGGAGCTTTCCAACGCCGAGCGTTTTGTTTGAGTCTGAGTCGACTGTGGCTAATGGAATAACTGTGCTGTCAGTCACCGCACCGCCAATAACAGAGCTGGCGGCGTGTAATAGTGTTAAACCTGAAGGATTTCAGTGACTCAGATCAGGATCTCGTCGCCACATTATGAACTGATAGTTTCTATCTGTTTCATGAACCTGACAGTCAATTTTTATGCTAATACTAGCAGGTATTGCCCGTCTTAACCCGGCTCAATATAATGTTTCCAATTGTATTTATTTTGTGTGTGCATAACCTACCCATATGTTTTCACCTTTTAAGTTACCAGTAGGAAGGCATTTAAGGTATTTAAATGAACATTTTCTGTTCTTGACAAAAAATTGTTCAGTAGTCCGTTACATTTTTGTTCTTGCCAAACTATTTCGTTCAACGAACATGACCACTATAACTAATATTTTTTAAAGCTCGTTTTCCCCCCTTTGGAGCTAGAATTTTCCAAAAGCCTTTCTTAGTGTGCTCCTACACTATGATGGATACTATGAAAGGATACTTGAGTCCAAATTTCATATTTTACCGTTTGGGCTGTGCGTTGATCACCAATTAGTCAGGACAAACTGTTTTATATATAGAGATAACGCAACGTTTTAAGATAGACTATGTGCAAAAAAGGAGAATAATTATAAGGGTTTATCCTAATTTTAAATTCACATTTGAGTCTTTTGTGCCATATTGAGTCAATACGGTCACGCACAAACTCGGAATATGAAACACGGCACTCGTGTCAATGCCGTGCAGCGATGAGCCACGATCAAAAAGCACTGACAATTCTCATCTCAATTTGCTAGAGTAAAAGTTTCGATAGTTGAAGCCACCGATACCATCAAAATATCGAAGTTTGAATGCAATAAGCAGAATATTTAAATAACAAAATCGAATTATTTATTGACATCAATAAGAACAAATCATATACATACATACATACATCTGCCCGCAATGCGAAGCAGAATATACGTAGCTCCGTTATTCGGTTTCTGCTTTACTATCGCTTACGCAGTCGTTGCTTAGCGACGGTAACTGTAAACTTTTGGCGTTTTGCCTTTGCAATTAACATTAAATGGTCAAAACGAAAGATGTGCGAGCCAACAACTTGAAGTTGTTGTTGTTGTTTTGTATGTACATGCTACATACATATACAGGCATACATACATATGCTTGTACATATGTATGTATGCAATAATAAAATTAAATGCGATATATCGAAAATATCGATACTTGTGTTGATATATCGTAATACATGTCGAATACAAATACAACGAAAAAAAAACGTTTGAGAGTTATTGATTATAATACTGTATTCGATTATTCACTGTACACATATGTACATAAATATATACAAATTTATTTGTATGTGTACGGTAACTGTAAACTTTTGGCATTTTGCGTATGCAATTAACAGCCGTAAATGATCAAAACGAAAGAAGATTTGCGAGCCAATAACTTGTTGTTGTTGTTGTTTTAAAAATTTTGATTTGAAAACATAGAACACTATTTATTACAATTAAACAACAGTGTTCGATGGCCCACTGCATACATACAAACCTATATATGTATATAAGAATGTATGTACGTACATACATACTTATTGATGTACATATGTATGTACATACTATACATACAGACGTATGTACATATGTATGTACGTATGTAATACATATGGTGCTGGTGTAATTCATAATGCGAAATTCTTTCTAAGGGGAGCAATGTCCCCCCTGCCCAACCTGCGTACGCCCTTGTAGTCCGTTGTCCTAAAAACCCCTTATGCCAAATGTACTAAACAAAGAAAAAATACCATAAAAATGTTTATGTTATAATGTTAATAATTTTTAATTAATTAACATTTCTTGCCCTGTCAGTGCAAGACGAATGTACTTTTATACATATGTATGTATGTATGTACAAATGAACATTCACACATTAGTGTCTCACATTTTGCTTTGGCTACTTCAACCGTTTGCACGCAACTACACGAACAGCTGCTTGTATGTATGTATGTATGTGTGTGTGTATGTATACTTAGTTGTCCCCAACTGTTTGATATTTTGTATTGTTTGTTCTGCCTGCATTTGTAAAATGCATATTTTAAAAATCGTTAAATGCAAAGTTGTAATTTTAGTTACGTAGATTATATTACCCAAATTTGAAATCGATCGGACAAAATTTATAACACAAACTTTTCATTTGAAAAAATGAATAAATATTAAAACCCCAATAATTCAAGCTCCAACACAAATTAATTGGATGAAAATTGTAGAATTTTCATACAAACGTTGGAGCCCGTTTCCCCCCCCTTGGCGTTCGAATTTTCCAAAACCTTCTTAGTGCTCACTTTCACTATAAGAGGGATCTTGTGTCAAAATTTCAGCTCCCTAGCTCTTACCGTTTGGGCTGTGCGTTGATTGCCAATCAATCAGTCAGTCAGGACAAACTGTTTTATATATAGAGATACAAGTGCTCACCTACACCACTGAAGACAACATGTGTCCAATTTTCAGCCTCCTAGCTCTAACCGTTTGGGCTGTGCGTTGATTGCACATAGCTTTTCGTTTACCGAATTTTCCACCGGAAAATCATTATTTTTCAGGCCGCAGGAAAAATATTGAAAATCCAACTATACAGTTTTTTTTGTATTCTTTGTGAGAATATACAAACTAAGTTTGAAGTTAATCGGATAAAAATTGTAGATTTTTCATACAAACGTTGGAGCTCGTTTTCCCCCCTTTGGAGCTCGAATTTTCCGAAACCCCTTCTTAGTGCTCACTTTCACTATAAGAGGGATCTTGTGTCCAAATTTCAGCTCCCTAGCTCTTACCGTTTGGGCTGTGCGTTGATTGCCAATCAATCAGTCAGTCAGGACAAACTGTTTTATATATAGAGATACAAGAGTATATTAAGTTAGCCAAAAAATGTAACAGGCTTCTGCCTGGAGGCGTGGGAGAGGCGTTCGACAACTTCCTTTCAGGCGACAAAAACGACGTTTCGCAACTTCCTACGACAAACCAAGACTTTTTTTCAGATTTGAAAGATAAATATACCTGAAATCGACAAGGTGACAAGATTTTTGTATTTTTGAGATAGTGTTGTTCACAAAATTGTTGCATAGGTGAGAACATTTTCGATCTTTTGGGAAAGTCCTCTACGGACCAAAACTTTTGCAACGGTATGGCGATCAAAAGTAATTGTTCTTCTTGACCACTAGGATTACTACTCCTTCTATATTCGTTGTTGGTTGAGTAGAGCATCTGCTTGACAATATACAGCCGAGAAGCGTTTTTTGTGTAGTGGGAGACTTGCTTTATTTGGCATATCCACAACAAGTCGAGGAATGGCTCTACTCCAATTAGCATGTCTATTTTTTGAGTCTTATAGAATTGATTAGGAATCAAGCGTATATTTTTGGGGACCCTCCACCCGCTGGTGTTCATCGATAGATGGAACGAGAACCAGAAATCGGTCCCAAGATCCGAAAATCTGGAAAAAACAAGTAGAGAAGCTAAAGTCGGGTATCCCGACTTTGAAATACTCTGTACATATGTGTAGAATAATTATGCGTGTATGTGTGTATTTGTGTGTGTCTGTGTATGTCTCGTGTGCCTGAGCAAAGCAGTAACAACAACAACAGCTGCGGGCACTACTTGGTCTTATGTACATATATGGCTATAACTTCCCGTTAAATCAGCCTATCATGATGAAACTTGGCATTTGGACCTATAATTACTAAATGGGGGTATTTGCCAAGTTTGAGTTCAAAATTCCAAGAATTACGGGAGTTACGATTTGCGGTGGAGAGGGGCGAGAGCGGGAAATTCCAAAATACACAT